CCTCCAGACTTCCCACACTCCCCATGACCCTTGCCAGCCTCCAGGGGGCCCTCATTTCTGACAGGCTCCCCCAGGAGGCTGGTAAAGATGAGCCCTAGGTGTGCTGGGGGGGGGTCCCCAGATCTCGCAGGAGCACACCTAGGGGGTCAGGCGACGCGGCAGGGCATGTCTTGCTTGGCCACAGCCATCTCCACTCCGGCCAAACCCGTTCCTCGCTCGGCACGATAGTAGGTGCGTGGATGCCAGTGGGGCCTGGGGGCATCGGGACTCTCACTGCAGGTGCCGTGGGGTCAGGACGGGTGCCGAGAAGGAGGGGGGATCTTCCTCATCTCGGAAAGATGGAACCACCCGCGCCTGAGCCTGGGACACACACCCTCCCACCCTAGGGCGCATCCCAGGGGACCAGAGAGGAGCACAGGACGTGAAAACCTCATTGCAGGGCAGCTTAGAGAAGAATTTGGGATGGAATGCGGTCTCATCTGCACAGTGCTGGGTTTGGGTGTCCCACATATCTGGGTGCGTGTGCGTGTGCGTGTATGGATGCACGTGAGGGTTGTGGATGTGTGTGAGCTTGTGTGGATGCGTGTGTGTGTGTGTGTGCGCGTGCGCGTGCGTGCAGGGCTGCGTGTGGGTGCGTGTGCTTTCAAAGGTGAGAATTCAGACGTAAGATTTTGGAGCGTGTGGGCGTTTATGCCAATTAAGTTTTATCTGCGCGAATTCGGGTTTTCTGTTCCGTGCACCGCTCCTCGGGTGTTACTGGGCCCCCCCCACTGCTCCACAGCGGTCTCAGTGATGGAAACTACGGGGAGGAACAGGTTTGGGTCTTTGGTGTCACACTGCCAGAGCCCAGCGAGGGTTTGGTGAAGGAGGGAGATGGCTGGAGAGCAGTGACAAGCCTACCTGCAAATTTGGTGCCTTCCTTTCTCTTGGATGGTCAGCTCACAGCCAATTGAAGTCCAGGTCCGAAAGGAACGAGAAGGAAGGGTGGGGGCCAAATTCTTTTATTTTGCCAATTGTTTTGAAGCCAATTTATTTTTAGTAATTTTTTTTCAGCTAATTGATTTTTTTTTTTTAGGGTTTTCTGGAAAGCTAGCTAGCTTTTCCGGTGTTGCTAAGAAGCCAATTCGTTTCAAGGGGGCCAACACGTTTGTGATTGCGATTTTGGTTGTGTAATTTGGGGGTAATTTGGGGGTGATAATTTGGGAGAGAGAGCTAAAGCCAATTGGTTTTGTACATTTTTAAAGATTTTGTTGTGATTCCCTTAGCCCGATGGAGGGGGCCGAGGAGACCAGCCTGACGTGGGGAGGTTGGGGCACGGGGGCCAGGTCGGGGGAGCCCGCAGACAGGACGGTACAGAGGTTTCAGAGGTGGGACCTGATGGAGAGGCCCCGTCAAGAGGAGGTCACGAGTGGATGGTGCCGCTTTGCAGAATTACGACAATTTGGCTCACTTGCGATGGCCGGACGCCTCAAGAGAGGCACCCCCGTGGGCGGCGGGGTCCTGGGTGGGCAGGGCGATCAGGGGACGGTGACGCTTGGCCTCTCTGAACACCTCCAGCTCCTTGGCGAGCGTGCGACCCCGGCGGGCTCGCAGGAGGGCAGGCAGGCCCCTGCGCAGGCGTTGGGCGGACTGCTTCCAGGTGTCATATTGGAAGAATTTGCCCACGGGGTATCTGGGGAAGTTGTCCTGAGAGGGGAAGGGCCGGTCAAGGGGCGCCTGGCCCCCAGCACCTGCTCCCAAGCCATGCAGGCCCCGGGGGGGACATCTGGGCAACCTGCTGGGGGCTGTCCCTAAGCCTTGCAGCGTGCCCGACGTGTGACAGGTCAGTAACTCCCCCAGCTTCTGGCCAATGCCACCACGGGGCG